CTTGAAAAAAGAAAAAAAGTTTAATAAAACATGCTTCGCCTTGAAAGGCACATGCTGCTGCCATTCATGCATTGGAGGTGCTGCTGCTGGTGAAATCAGCATGTAAGCAGTATACTTGCATTCATTATTGTGAATGGGGTTAGCTGTCCCTCCAAGCAAGAAGGTTGAAAGGCATAATGCTTTGCAAATGGCTGGATATTGCTGGAGATGCCATTTTCATAATGAAAATACCATTACATTTTTATGTTCCTCACAATACAGAAGCTCAACGGGCAGCTGTTAGCCCTCCCTCTCTCCCCAGCATCTATTAGCCTCCCTCGTTGCTTTCCTAAGGGAAGGCGATTCAGCTTTGCTCTGTCTGAAATTTGCAAAACAGAAGCAAAACCACAAACATATGCTAAAGTAAACATGTGTGAATGTAACAGCCTGGGATTCCTTCGAGGGCTGGAAGAAGCTCCCTCCAAGCATGACATGCTGATTGGACTGATAGTTGAAACACTGGGGATGGAATAGCATCCTCCATGACACTTGAGGGCAAGAGAGTAGCATAAGGTATGCAGGGCTGGCTGCTGCTGGTGCATCTGCATCAACCCGACCTTGCCACCACCCTTCCTACCCCACCACTCCTGTCCATATCAGGAAGCAGAAACAGCAGCACTGTCAGGAGATCAGCAATATGGCCCCAACCCATTGTGTCAGTTGCTCCGGGCACCATGGCTGGGAAAGGTCTCTTCCCAGCCAATCCCATAGCCCCAGTGGTAAAGGTAAAGGTAAAGGACCCCTGGTGTCAGGATGCTGTCAGCAGCTCCCAGCTGGTTGCCCAGGAAAGTATAAAGACAAGGAAAAGTTTCTTACAGTCCTTTTTTATTTCAATCTTTACAGAGAGAGGCTATAGATTCCAACCGCTTGGATAATGGCATTGTCCCGAGTGAATCACCACCCTCCGTCTCTCCCATTTCCTCATTCGTCACTTCTATGGGTGCTACTAAGTGCCCTCTGTCTTTGAGTGCTTTGCTCTCCTACTTTTAAGACTCACCAGGTTCTGGGAGATTGAGAGTGGGGATTGCTTTCTAATGACAATATGTCAGCCAGGTGTTGCTCTGGCTCTCCCATGATTTCCCAACTTTCTCCCTCATCTACCTGTGAGTTGCGACCTCTGTCAAACCAGTGTTGTAAATCTATACTATCTTCCTCTTCCTCCCTGGAAGGATTAGGATGGGGAGGCAGTCTCACTATTCCTCCTCTGCCCAGTCTCTGGATGGTTAAATCCAGTCAAAGGCAACTATGGGGTGTGGCGCTCATCTCGCTTCAGGCTGAGGGAGCTGCCATTTGTCTGCAAAAAGCTTTCCAGGTCATTCGGCCAGCATTACTAAACCGCTTCTGGTGCAACGGGACACCGTGATGAGTGCTAGAGTGCACGGAAACACTGTTTACCTTCTCACCACAGTGGTACCTATTTATCTACTTGCACCAAAACAAAAGCATGATTTAACACCATTGAACTCAATATTTCCCAGGCTGCCCCTAATTTGTTAGCTGCTGTTGACCAAATGTTATTGGGTAGACAGGTAAGGATTGAGATCAGCCATACATCTCCTGCAACATTTGGTCAAAAAGATTTGGTAAATAAACCTGTCCTTGCTCAGTAATTCTATGAACTGTCACAGCCTTCAGAATATGGACCCAGCAGAGAGGAAAAACTGCAAGGCTTCTGTGCTTGATTGTCATCTGCATGTTGCTGTTCCCTTGCATGGTTACTAGGTGATAGAAAACAGCCAAAAATGATGACTCAGTAATTACAATCAGGGATGCCTTGCAGTGGTTAATGCAGATCTCTCTGTGTTGCCTTTTAGCAAGATCTACTATTCCCTGTGCACATATCTGGGGAAATGATTTGGCGTGCTCCAGTATCTTCTTTCAGAGTGACTCAAATTGTGTTTTCCATGAAGTTCCACTGTATGTAACAGAGCTGTGTGTAACAGACCTTGACCACCATTCTCTGGTTATTCAGTGTTCCCAAATGATTTGCTTTGAAGAAACCAGTGATTAAAAAGCTCCCCTTTCATGCTGATTGGGCGGCTCCAGCATGCAGAAAGACATCTGCAGAAATAGCAATAGGTGTTTGACTCCCTGCACAACTCCTGACCATTACTTCACTGTCTCCAATAGAAGAAAAATGTTTACGTGGACTGAGTCAAAACTGACTCCTTTACTTGTTCCATTCCTGTTCATTATAAATCGCACAGACCCTTTACACCTGAGGCTCTGTATTGGGTCAACTGCTTGGCCAGGCCAGCCTTCAAATTGTCATGCAATGCATCACTATCCCTATTTTGTCCTTGATCTTTTCCTTCCATATTTCCTCTGCTGTGCCACTGCTGTGTTCCAGGAATTGTAATGCACACAACAGCTCAATTTGTAATGTCATTTCCTGCATTTTGACCATCTTGCTGCTTTAGAAGCTGTGACGGACAGCAGAGCCAGACCAGAGTCTGGTGATGCAGTCCCCCTGGAATTCCACCAGAGCGCTGGAGCCTCTCTCTGGTTGGCTACAGAGTCAGCTAGCCACAGAGGAGGGAAGAACAGCGCTTGGGGGGGGGGATAATAAAAGGAGCAGTTTCTGAAAGGAGAATGTTAGATACGGCTGGATTTGATGAGAGAAGAGGGATAGGATTTGATTTGCGGTGTTTGACAGGTTTCAGGTTGGGAGATAGGGAATGAGATAGGTAGAACTGGTTCTGAGTTAAGTTAAACATACACACTGAGGAGGCCAGTGGGTTGTTTTTTTCCTGGGGGGACGCAGGGGTATACATACCCCTAAACATTTTCTGAATCTTTGTACTTTGGTCCATTTACTGTATTTATTTCCCCCAATTTGAACTATAAAATGGTGATTTTCTTGAGTCAAAATGAGAGTGCCCCTAAACAATTTTTTAGGGGAAAAAAGCACTGGAGGAAACTATCCATAGTGAGAGGACAGAGCCTCGCAGCTTGGATAGGGAGACCAGGTCTGGGAAAGGTATACAGACAGGATTCTCCTGGGAGGGCCGTGTCCGAGCCAATAGAGGTAGATCTTGTGGGAATACAGGCTACTTGGGTGTCAGTATAGCCAGGAGGGGAGAGTTTTTCAAGGCATGGAGATTCCCAACCCGGTACAAGGAGTGAGGTGATCCCCTAGTTCTGTTATACCCAGTGCTTTTTTTTCTTTAAAAAATGTTTAGGGGTACTCTCATTTTCCTACTCATATTGAGGCCAAACTTAGATTCACAAAATGTTTAGGGGTATGTGTATCCCTGCATACCCCCCAGAAAAAAAAGCACTGGTTATACCATTTATAATACCTCAGGTGTGGGACTGTTATGAGAGTGGGTAACTGAGGGGAAATGTCCCTCGCTCATGAACCAAAGGATTAAACTGTGAAGGAAGCAGTATGGTGTTGAGAGTATTGAACTGCAATATCAAAGTGACAGAAACTGAGTTGAGCATTTTACCATCTACTCTGGAAACCTGAATATTTATCTACCTGCAGTGTACCAACTGATTTTTAGCAGCTGAAGTTTAAGAAGAGCTGTGCCTATAATATTTTGTTTAAGCCTGAGACATTTTAGAGTTAGTTAAAGTAAACAAGTTAACTTCTACCTGAAAGAACGCATTTCTTTACCCACTTTGTTTCATAAACTTCCTTTTGTTTAATAAAACTTTTATTGTTTCTTTGATCAACTCTAGTCTGAGACTCTATGTCATTAAGTTTTCCCTCACACAAGTTCCCCACTAGATAATCTGTGGTAAATTGTAGAAATGTGTGTAATTTGGTGTACCGTGAATTGTGTGCACTATATTTAATTGAAGGCAGTTAGCGGGAGTGGATCTGCTGCATTATTAATGGGTGGTATTAATCGGGCAGATTCTCTACAGAAGCGTTTTCAGTACCACATCAGGGCTCTCCTGTACATTATTACAAAGCACACTAATGCATGGTAAAGGGGTGCAATTACATTGCCTGGCACAACCATCAGCCAAGATTTGCTTGTGAAATGTGTTAAAGTAATCCACAATATAAGCAAAATGTACGTTGAAATGTGTAGGAGTCAACCATGTGCAATGCTCAGCATGCTAAGATCCAGTTGCTAATCTGCTTAGGCTGGTGCCAATTAAAGATCATGCCTCTTATCTCCTGTCAGCCACGGTTAGTAAAGAGCTCCCTTAAGTATTTATATGTTCTTTTCCTTGCCACTGGATATTTATTTATTTATCTTTCATTTATTTAAATGGAAAATGTATAAACTTACCAAGAAGTTTCAAGGGCTTAGTTTAGAGCCCCGTATTCACTGTGATCCAGGCATGGCATCCATGTATATGCAAGGAGCTTGATTTGCTCTAGTAGGGAAAGCAGTTCTGTGTGCATTAAAGCAGAGCCTGGGAACCTCAGGCCTGGGTAGTGAATGTGGCCCTTGGGCCCCCCCTCTCTCTGGCCCTTATGAGTTTCCCCAGGCTATGCCCCTCACTGGGACAACTTTGCCCACCCCAAGCCAATTGATTTGCCTGGCTGAAAAGGGCCGTTGAAGTCTGATCATGAGTCTTTGCTGGATGGAGGAGAGAGAGTGGTGTGTGTAGGAACGAGCCTACTGTACAAAGTTTAAATTCACATTCATTGATTCGCCATTGTTTTGCTTCCAGACTGGTCCACATAGAATCATAGAAAGATAGAATTGGATGCAGTGCTATTTTTCTAGAGAAAGTGGTTCCATAACTGGCCATGAACACCTCCCCCGTTCTCCTAGAATGGCAATGGTACCCACCTGAGAGGTGCTGGAATTGAGTTCTGACAAGTTCCAGCTGGAGGGGGGGAGCCCCAAGGGTCATATATTGCAGGCCCCTGCAATGCAGAAATACTGGCATGTGGTGCTTGGAAGTTATCACAAAGGAAGGTGGCCCTCAGACTGAAAAAGGGATGGATGGCTGCTAGTCACAATTGCTATGTTCTACCTTCACTTCCAGAGGCATTGCGCTCAGTTGGTAAAACATGAGGCTCTTGATCTTAGGGTCATGGGTTCAAGCCCCACATTGTGCAAAAGATTCCTGCATTGCAGGCGGATGGACTAGATGACCCTCATGGTCCCTTCCAACAGTACAGTTCTATGATCTGTGATAACCAAACCCCATAACCAAACTCTGGATACTAGTAGCCGGAAACCATAGGAGGGGAGATTGCTCTTCCACTTGGGTCCTGCTTGCAGGCTTCCCATAAACATCTGGTTGACCACTGTGGCTGGACTAGATGGACCACTGGCCTCATTCAACAGGCTCACCTTAGGAATGTGTGGAGTTGCATCCTCAACTAACAATGAATGGGGAATTCCTTGCACAAGCCCTGGAATGCTCATCAAATTGCTGATTTTGTGCAACGTGTGTCCCCCCCCCCTCCGTTGTCAATGTCAGAATGGAATAGCTTTGACAAACTCAGCACATTTTCCTTTTAGGCAACAGAGATAACCACAGAGGACAATAATTTGATTCATTTGCTCGGCAGAGTACTAAGTCATTCAAACTAGCAGGGAAGAGGGACCCCAAACAACTGTAGTTCACACTCGTGAGTTACCAGAAAATAGCAATGTAAATATATGTTAGGTTCTTCCGTGAAAGATGCCTTGCTTTCCTTCAGGAGATTTATCTGCCAAGAGAGGAACCTTTGTGGACTGTTTGTTTGGAACCTGAAACACAAAATAGAGGCTAGTAAATACAACCCACTGGTGTGGAAAGATGGGCTTTGGGAGTCATTCAAAATATAAATCCTCCAGAATTTTACAGTGATGTTCTGCTGGCAGGTTTTTAAGTTCCCTGATTTAAAACAAATTCCTTCTTGCCATTGTCACCTCCCGCTATATCCAGGCATATCTGCCCATTGTTGGAGGGCTGTTAAGTGATGTAAATCAACAGACTGGTTCTTTCAGCTCCGTTCCAACCCAGTCATATATTTCTGCTGCTGCAACCAATATGCCCAATAAATGCAGCACTGTTGAAGATGGAAATCTAGCTGTGAAATCTGCTCCTTGGGCAATAAATACCAATAAAAAAGAAGCTTCAGTGTTGTTAAAATTTGCACAGAGCCTACACAGGCCTCTCTCCTTGTACAGACAGTGCATTGTTCGCTACAGAGTTCCAGACATTGGACATTAAATTGGTGTAAAATCCTCATAGGCCTTTTAATACCTTCCTAATTATTTTCATCTAACTGATATTAAAGACCCCCAATTGTACCTGGAAAGGCCTGCTAGCCTTTCAAAGGAAAACCTTCATTAGTTTGAACTCTAGAAAGGGATGCAAATGGGGTTTTACACATTAAAATTCTGTTTCCCCCAGCAATTTAGGGGTGGGAGTGGGGGAACACAAATTAATAACACCATGCTGTCAAGGGCTTAGTTTTTTTTCAGTGTTGCTTATATAATGTGTTATTTCTTCTGTGCAGTTCCCCTGCCCCAGTAGCTTGAGTTACTTCTCTACCTTTGTGCATTGGAGAACTGAGTCCACCCCCCAGGCATGCAGACACAGATTATGTGCAAAACAGTGATTGCTGTTAACTTCACATTCACCCAAACATAGCTCGGAGTGCTTTATATGTTTTTATTCACAGCTCATTCAATGTACTGGAAGTTAGAAGAAGACCCAGGAAGGCTTAGGCTTTAAAAAATAAAAATAAAATGTCTGGGTTGTAAGAGAGGAAGGATTTCTTATATGGAAACTGGAAGAGGAATGAGCACTGTTTTCTAATTTATACCTTCTGGAGGAACATGGCCCAATGTTAGCTAGGGAAGTAAGAAGGCATTCTTTCCCTTTTAGTCCTTCATTCATTCCATGCAGCTCTGTTTCCATTCCACTGCAGTTCATCTCCTGTCCCAAACCCCATTATTCAACTTGCGGTCTGCTTTGCTGAAATTAGTAAATTGCATACATTATGTAATTTATATTGTCATTACACTAACCCACCCTGTTCAATTCAATGCAAATGGGGGAGGGGATTAATCCGTTAGGTATCGTATGCAAAGTGAAAGCAAGAAATGCTTATTGTATCTGCTAGGTTGATTTCCATTCTGGACTTGGAACAAATGAGCAAACACCAGCAATCTCCATTCCTGTTTCTGTTTTCATTGGAACTCTCCTACATTCACCTAGTGGTGGAACATACCTGTGGTCTTCAGAAGCCCCAAGCTTAGCCCCTAGTATCTCCCAGGGATCTGGCAGCAAGTGATGTGAAAGACGTCTGCCTCACAGCACACTCCTATGCCACTTCAACTCTCCTCAGCCCCAGCCAACATGACCAATGGTCAAGGATGACCAGCAACATCTGCAAAACCATAGGTTTCCCACCTCTGGTTTGAAGCCTAAGGCTCTGGATAAATGCTACCAGCTGGAGTGGGGAATAACGGGATATGTGGACAAATACTGTGACCTGCTATAAGACCCATGTCCTGCTTGTGGGTTTCTCAACAGCAACTGTTTGGCCGCTGTGAGAACACGAAGCTGAACTAGATGTGTCTGTGGCTTGACGTAACAGGGCTATTCTAATGCTCTTATGTTCCGTAAGGTGAAAGTAAGTGCCATTGATTTTCAATGGCACTTAACTGCATCGAAGTGTGGAGCAGGACAATGAATGGTGAATCTTCATGAGAACACTCAACTTTCTAAATATAACATTTGCCTCTGACTCACTACTCGTCATCTTCCTTCCCAATCACCTTTGTGTATATACATTGGCGAAGCTAGGATTGCCCTTTTTGAATCTGAAAGCTTATGTCAGATTGCCAACTTTTGGGGGTGTGCATGGGCATATTTGCAAACTGGAGAAATTGTCATGGGTACCATGAACCCCCTGCACCCCCTCAAATTGCTTCAGAGTATGTTGGGGGGGGGAGAGAGGGACTGCTTGCACTACAGAATGTTTGTAGTAGTGTGACACTGAATTCCCCCCCCCAAAAGGTATCTGCAACTAGGTTCAGGTGGGAGGGGGAAGGGTTTGCGTTTCCCCCCAAGTCAAATGTGGGGAAGGGGGAGGATCTTTCTGGAGAGCTGCGAAGCAAGTGGTAACCCCACACAAGTGACAATATCCAAGATCACCTCTCCCTACAACCATTAGGCTTTGCGGGGGGGGGGGGTTAGTCTCCTTTTGTACTCAATAGAAGACTTCCAGTTGTGAAGATGGGGCATTTTGGGGCATGGGGAGGTAAGAGTTGATTGATCATCATCCCCTGTGAAAACACCCCCTTTGCTACTATTGGCTACAATAAAAGGCTCCCCGCCCCAAACCTAATAGTTCATGTGGTCCCTCTCATCCATTTTCCACTGTAAGCAGGCTTTAAATAAGCCAATTGGTTAGCAACATATGCAGAGCACCACACTGGCTACCTCTGTGCGTAGTGAATAATGGCAATATTTGCAGCAATGATAAGATTTGCTTTATATATCTGTACTGTTTGGAAGCAACCTGATCTGTTTCAGAACTGCTCTGTGTTGTTACCATTCAGTTTGCTATTCAGTTCTGAATCTGGTCTGCCAAATGGGAAGCTCTAGTTTGCCCCCGCTTACTATAATGTGGACTCTAAAAATGGCAATAACTCCCCCCCCCACACACTTTTCATATAAGTGGATGAGATTTGCAGGCAAAGGAGCCCGTCTGGAGTGGATTAAGCCTGCCAAATTTCTGGGAATTCTATCCAGAGGCTTTTGTGTAGGGAGGCTTTTACTATTATTATTAATATCTCAACTTTTTTCTGTGAGAAATGGATGCAAATTGCAATCTTGCTTGCCACATCTGAGGGGATGAAGCCTACCAAAGTTCAGAAAGATAAGTACAGAAGTTATTCTGCAAAGGAAGACTTTGTCATTTGCAGGCGGGGAAATGGAGGGTTACGAAACCTGCCAAACTTCATCCAACAAAAATGATTCTACTTTTGTTTTCAATCTGGAAAAGTCACCAACCAAGTACTCTACTCCGATCTTTATGCCCAATATTTTAGTGAAAAGTGAAAATAAAATACAAAAATGTAATACAGTGGTACCTCGGGTTAAGAACGTTCTGGAGGTCCATTCTTAACCTGAAACTGTTATTAACCTGAGGTACCACTTTAGCTAATGGGGCCTCCCACTGCTGCCGCACCGCCACTATGCAATTTCTGTTCTCTCTCTTTTTTTATATATATATAATTTTTATTAACAGGCCAATCACATCACATTATCCAAATCACATTAGTTCCAAATTATACAGCCAAATTTTAAATTTTGTTGGGTGTACCCATACATCAAGCTCCGCACGAGTCCAAAACTCCGAACGAGTCCAAACATCACTTATATTACGGCTTTAATTAGACAGTTCTATCCAGTTCAATCCAGATAGTCCTTTATTACTTTCTTCCTCTTCTTGTTGTTATCGTATATTCCTTTCTTTGCGATCTCTGATAATTTTCACAAGCAGATTGAAAACAGGCATCCTCTGTGTGGGTTTTGTACTCTCCAAAGATCATATCGCTCAGGGACAGCCTCTGTTCAATGCTTCCATTAAAAAAAAATTAATCTTTGGTCTGTCCTTTACTTTTCTCAGGCTTGTCAAATAAGTCAAATGAATCAGGAGGCTCTGTCAGGTCAAGATTGCGTTTCAACATTCCTTCTCTTTCGAATGGTCCTGATTCTCCTCCCCCTGTCCTTCTTTCTCTGGCAAGCCTGTCTTGGCGAGACGCCATTTTTAAACTGCGTCATAAAATTTTTCCTCTTTCTCACTGTTCACCAATCCTCTCTCCTGTTATAATCCATCCCACACAGTTCTTGAATTCCTGCTTGTGATTAGTAAAAACGCAACGATCTTATTTCTATCTGGGGTGAAGGGTTATTAATATCACATCGTGCAAAGAAAAAAAAAGTTTTTTCCTCCACCCCCCACCCCCTTCATTCCAAACATACAGTCTCTTAGTGGTGATTCATCAGAAGATTTACTTATCCATCCGTCACTCCCGGTCACAGAGATCCATTAATCAGCAGTCTTATCTCTCGAACGTTACTTGATATATGTGCTTCAGCTTCATTCCAATCATATGTTTCCAATTATAATTCCGAGCTGAAGCTAACCAGCACGCGCTAATTGGAATCGGCATCAGGAAGATCTGACCTCATCGAGGGCTCGTGCCAAGTGTTTGGCACCCCCATTTCTCGGATCAGGGGGTGCATTGTGACCACCGCTGACAAGGCAGCCCCCCTGTCTCCTGGGGGGGGGGTAGGAAGACTGCATACTTCCCATAGTAGCCCCTTAATTACCTTGTATGGGTCAGAGAGATGTTATTGTCAGCCATCTTCCAACGCGTCACCTGGTGGCCCCCCACAATTTCTGTTCTCATCCTGAAGCACAGTTCTTAACCCGAGGTACTATTTCAGGGTTAGCAGAGTCTGTAACCTGAAGCGTCTGTAACCTGAAGCATCTGTAACCCGAGGTACCACTGTATAGTTGAACTATGAAACTCACTCATATAGGAGGCAGTGTTGGCCCCCAAGCTAGATGGGTCAAAACAGAATTGGTCAAATTCGTGGATTAGAGAGCTTTCCATGTTCTGCTTCTACACTGGTAGGCAATAATGCTTCTGAATCCCAGATGCTGGAAACCACAGGAGAAGAGAGTGCTCTTTGCTTGAATCCTGCTTGCTGGTTTCCCACTGGCATCTGGGAGAACTGGATGCTGGCCTAGGTGGGCCCTTGGCCTCATCCAGTAGAACTCTTTTTATGTTCTTTAGGATGTATGGGAAATTGCCTTGCAAGAGTGTTTATATTAGCGAAAACTGCTAAGGGAAAATGTGTCCATTAGGAGAAATTAGCACAACAATGCTGGTGAATTTTCACGAGGACTCACTTTTTTATCTATTCTTTTCTTTTAAAATTGCAAACTGATGTAGATATGTGGAGAACTGAACTTAAGGTTGGAGAATGAGAAACTGCGACAAACCACAACCTGACAGATTCAGCCACCCCTAACTGGGCGTGACCAAGGAACTGGGCTTCATCCCAGATCCACCACAAATTGCTAGATTTCATCCTTTAGCTAAACCACTTTTGGCAATAACTCTAGGCCTTTCACAAATACAAGAGCACCTGTGGTTGTCAGTAGCTGGCAAGCCTAACATAAGTCCCTGTAGCCTGGAGAGGGGAATAGGGGGTCTCAGTTGTTGTTTTTATACTGAACTTAAAAATTCTCCCATGTTTTCCTCTGACCTTTTTTTGGAGCATTCAGTTCTATGCTGTTACTGATTCGTTGTGATAGAATGCCGGAAAAGGGGGCAGGGGAGGGGAGGCAATCTTGATAGAATTGTACATAGGATTCTCTCAATGTACATTTTGTGCAGTGTTTCACACATACGCTCCTGAACACTAGTACAATGTCATAAAAAATGTTGGTAGAAGCATGCCTGCAATCACTTCAGTTGCCTTTCTCTGAGGCTTGTCGGTGCATCCATGCCTATTAGAAATGTAGAAAGTGGGGAGGACACAAAGGGAATAGAGGAACTAAAAGCTGTTCTTTCTCAGTGCTCTCTACAAAATGCCACTTTGAAAACAAACCATGTGATTTGGAATTCCAGAATTCAGGCATTCAGATGAGAAAGTTTCAAAAGCATCACTACTATGCTGGGACAGTTGTGTAAAGTGCATCGCAGGAACAGGGCCACCAGAACCTTCCCCACTTTTGATAAATGCAGTGGGAAGCTGTGCTCGCACTGGCTTTTAAAGCTGAAATCAGGATACCTTAGTATGATGCAATCCTTGTAAATCATGTAAATACATTTCCAGCTTGATTTCGCCTCTGTATTTTATAGTGTGCATGAGATTTTAGATGCCCTTGTTCCAGAATCAAGGGCAGAGAGCAGGCCTGCATGATTAAACCTTGCTTAATGTTTGAAACTGAATGGCCTTGTGAGCATATATCAGGTGCAGAAATGTCTTGGGAGGATACACTCATTTGTTGCTTCTGCAGTACCCTTTGTATAAAATATACATCAGTCAATCAGACCAATTGAGTAACACGAGAAGAACATTTCTCCTCCCCACTCCCCCGCCCCCCCCCCAACAATCAATATTTCTTCTCTGAAAATAAAATGGCTTGTCCTCCTTAGCATTATAAAACTGCAGGATAATCATGTCTGTGCAAGAATTTGACTCTGCATCGAATGGTGCTGCATAAAAAAATCAAAATCCATTGATCAGCCAGATCTAGCAATGGTGGGTTTTTGTTTGTTTACATGCAGCTGATACTTTGAATGTATGGGATGGCTGTTCTATACCTGGAAGCTCCCACTGGTGTTCTTGGGAGCAGGAGCTTGGAGAAGAAGCTCATATAGACCAAAGATGAGATCTGCAGGTGTAATTCCCAAGGTGGAGAGTCTTGTGCCTGTACAAATATTCACAATGGCGCTGTTGCTATTTGAAAGACCATATCAGAGAATTATTTTTGCTGCCTTGTGGGGTTTTATTTTTGTTTTGCTTTGTCTGGATGGCAACACCATTAGATTAGCCAATAGGATGTTGATTGAGTGTGTGTTCATGACTGTGTAGACATCCCACACTGCTTGCAGAGCAAAAGAGGGGAAAAGGATCGCTGGACTGAGAGAAGGTGGGTTTGATCCTGCAGGGTGCTGCTTCCTTTGCAAGCAGCTCCCCTGCACACAAGGAAATGGCTCACCAGGGGTGCCAACTTGAATAAAATAGGGGGGCAGGTAAATTCCACCCTCACCAATCACAAGGCACCATTTGAATGGCAATGCTCATCAACTTTGCCCCCACCCCATCAAATATTTTATTGCAGGCCCCTAGGAGTTGGGTCCTATGCTGCTCACATAAGGGAACGGAAACCAGCACCCTGCAGAATCTAATCTTCCATCTCATGAGCTGGAAAGCAGGGGGATTTGATACTGTGAGGTGCTGTTCCTTCATGAGAAGCAAGGATTTGATCCTGTGAGTTGCTGCTTCCTCATGGGCAGCTTCACTGTCACTGAGAAGGAGCAGCAACTGGCAAGATCAAATCTGCTTACCAGCTGAGAACTTGGGAAAGGTGCATAAGCCAAATTTCAGCTGAACTAGGTGCCAGAGTCAGAACCCACCACAGGCCTGAGTCATGATGAATGTTGACTGTTGTTGTTGTTGCTGTTGTTGTTGTTGTTGTTGTTGTTATTCAAAAATTACTTGAACTGTTGCACATTTTTGCATGGGGAACAAAATAGTGTATCTGCCGTGCAGGCATGCTCTCACATGAAGTGATCATGACATGTGTCTGAGCACATGAGTGCCTGATCTCTTGCAGGAGAAACATCACACAAGGTCATTAATGCTTAGAGATGCATAGATCAGTCTGTTTCTGGCCCATGTCCATTTTGCATGTGTTCATCCATAAATTTGTTCCATCCTGTTCCTGCATCAATCTGCAAATTTTTTATTCCTTTTAAAGAAACAGGAGGAGAATGCTTTATTGTTGGATGGATGGATGGATGGAATGATGGTTATCAAAGCACATTCTGTTTACGCTCTCCACGTGAACAGAAACTCCAGGCACACAAGATTTCATTACTGCATGGAGAGCCTGAGCATATTTCAAATGTTGCACTGAATGCATGGATCAGCTTAGGGCCAGGGAGGCTAAGAGGTACGGCAGCTCCTACTCCATGCATTGGATATATGAGTGGTTTCAGTGAATTCTGATCCTCCCCCCTCTCATGGCAGACAGACAAGGAAGTAGACAAGGAAGCTCTTACTGAGTCTTTATTCAATATTCACAGAGAGAGGCCTCTGCACGCTGCCTCTTAGGTTAATGGCGTTGGTCCAACTAAGCTCTCCCCTCCCCCTTCCTAACAACAGCACTTCCCCTTATGGTGGTCTCCAGGGGATAATTGTCTGAGTCCTTTGCTCTTCCACTTTCAATGCACTCCAGGTTTTCGGCAAAGGAGATCAGAAATGCTCTCCAGTGATAATGTGCCACCTGGCTGCTCTGCCTCCCCCTTCTCTTCTCCCAACACCTCCCAACTCTTCTGTTCACCTACCTCTGAGCTGTGACCTTCCTCAAACCACTGCTGTAATTCAGTACTGCCTTCCTCTTCTCTGAAGTTCAGGAGGAGGGGGGGCAGTCTTCACCATTCCTCCTCAGTCTCGTCCCCCTCAGTCCAGTCCCTGGCACAGTCCTAAAGACATGTGTTGATTCAAGAAGGAGAAGAAAATATTGAATTACGTGAGACCAGCAGCAGATGGGTGTAAGAACATAAGGGGGGGGGATCCTGAATCAGATCAAAGGACCATCTAGTGCAGCATCCTGTTCTCACAGTGGCCAACCAGATGTCTATAGGAAGCCTGTAAGCAGGACTTGAATGCAGCACCACTACCCTCACTTGTGATTCCAGCAATTGGGAACTGAGAAGCATATTGCATCCGGCACTGGAACATAGCCATTGTGGCTAATAGCCATTGATAGCCTTATCCTCCATGACACATGGAATAAATTAAAGGATCCTGCCTTGAGGATTGAAAATCAATGTGGCAGTTTCATTAGAACAGCCATGTGTTAGCGAATACTGAATGTATCATGCCGCAGCAATCAACAGAGAATCCTAACCACTACTTCTAGTCCCCTAGCAACAGCTAACATTAGAGGCTTCGGAAGAAGCTTCAAAAAACTCCCAGAATGCTTCATTTTACAAGTATATGTTTTTTTGCACTTTATATGTATGTATTTTAACATAAATATACCTTTGTCACCGGGAAAAATCGAGGGACCCGAGGCAGAAGCGAATAGGCAGAGTCATGCAGGCATCGCTATTCATGTTCATCAATAGCTAACAGCTAACATTAGAGGCTTCGGAAGAAGCTTCAAAAAACTCCCAGAATGCTTCATTTTACAAGTATATATTTTTTTGCACTTTATATGTATGTATTTTAACATAAATATAACTTTGTCACCGGGAAAAATCGAGGGACCCGAGGCAGAAGCGAATAGGCAGAGTCATGCAGGCATCGCTATTCATGTTCATCAATAGCTATTGTGAAGTTATTGGTCAATCATACTCCAGAGGCTTTCTTTAAAGATATCTAAACTGCGCACGAACAGCAATCTCTGCATTCAGGCTGAATTATGTAAATCAATGCCATTTAGACCAATTTTCTTTCAGCGAGCTGCATTTACATGTCCGGTGATTCTGCCAAGCATGGCATTTTCAGGAGGTGCCAGGGTGATGGAAGGAAAATGCATGGGCATAGGTAAGAGATAAGTGGAGTGCCTAGGCAAAGCTCAGTGACAAAATGCCAAGGAGGAAGGGCGGGAAATGCTGTAGAACACAGAAACTTTGCCCTTTGTAAAGGGCACAGTTTTCACATGAATCATGTCCAACCCTGAGGACTGGGAAATAGCTTTAAACAATGAAAAGTGAGTTGCTTGGAAATTCAAGTTTTATTCCGGATTTCACACTGCATTTTCATGGAATGTGCTTTATCAAGTCAACTGCACTCCAGGCTCTCCCAGTAATGGGGAATCGGAAGTCCCCCTTTTACAGTTTCCTCCCACTCTGACATGTGGACAGCACAGGGGAGGGGAAGCAAGGGAAAGGGTGGCCAGCTCATCCCCGATCTCCCTGCCCATTTGATTCATGGAAACCTGACTGTCCAATTTGCATGCTTTTCCCCACATTATCCCATTTCCTAGTGCTAAGGATGGCTAAAGAATATGCCAAAAGCAAAAATCCGGTGAATACAATTACCACTAAAATGTAAACAGACAAAGAAGAACTTCCTAACACACAGCCTTGGGAGGTGATCAGTTCTACTTGTGTGAGGCATTTAAGTGAGGCTGGATGGCCATCTGTCTGGGATACTGCAGCTCCATTGTGCAGTACAGATCCTGCACTGAACCATGGGTTGATGACCTCTGAGGTCCCTTAGAGCTCTAAAATGTTGTCACTCTAAGCAGAATATAGGAAGCTGTCTTATGCTGAGTCACATTATGCTTATGGTTACCATGATTATTTGCATTTATATGCCGCCTTTTCCTCCAAGGAGCTCAAAGTCATATACATGGTACTCCCCCTCTGCGTTTTATCCTTACAACAACCCTATGAGGTAGGTTAGGCTGAGGGGGAGTGACTGAACCAAGGTCACCCAGTGACCTACATGGCTGAATGGGGATTCGAACCCTGGTCTCCCAGGCCCTAGTCCAACACTCTAGCCACTACACCAAACCGGCTCCCTGCTTAAGCTCTGGGAATTTCCCCAGACAAGTTGGTTTCATTTCTCAGAAAATAAAAGGAAAACAAATTAAAGCTCGAACGTTTAACTGTTTGGGAGGCAAAAACACCCCAATTCATCTCATTACTTGGGATCCACACATGCATAAATTCAGGGAATTGTTGGTTTGAACTTTCTGGTACTTTTGTTACTCATCCTTCAAGGTGGGATTACAGACAAAGTAAGGAACCTGTGGTCCTCTAGCAGTTGTTGTACTCTTAACAACCATCATCCCTGAGCATCAACCATACTAGATCGGTTCTGATGGAAGTTGGAGTTCAGCAACAGATGGAGGTCCACAGGTAGAGAGTGAGGATGTCTTTTTCTCAAGTTTTCACTTAGCAATAATTTAACGTTTCTCGTATGATGGAATTTTGAGCATAAGAAGGAGCACAGGGCTGTAGCTTATCCACCCTACTCCATCCTTCCTATTATACACACTTTGTAAGCTGATGCTGAGAAATGACTGAGATCAGAGAACAGCTGGCACCCAGAAGGTCCTTCTGACCTGGACCAGCTTTTCAGATGAATCCAGTGCTAAATACAGGAAGTTTATAACTTCACAGATGTTTCGGGATTTAAAGTCAGAAAACCTTTAATCAAACGCGTGAGATTGCTTATTTAAACGGCTTATTCCAAGTAAACAAATGTGAGTTGCAATGCCAGTAGCCCCCACGAGAGATTTTTTTCCTCTAGCATTTGAGAGTAGATGCCCTGAAAATAGTGAACGGGTGGGAGATACTGAATTTGTTAAGGGAAGCTTGAGGATTTCTCAAAAGCTGGAATCTGCTATTCAAGCCAGGAGGAATTAACAGTAGATTTTCAACTTAATCTGCAGCAGGTTCCAGAGCTGCCCAGCACCCAAACCTCATGCCTGGCACCTGCTAGAGACTTTCATAGAAAACTACAAACTAAAGAGGTGGATGCATACCTGGGTTTATAGGAGACTGGCAACATGATGTAGATCAAGCCTATTGTACATAAGAAGAGGTCCATCTCATCCAGCATTCTGTTCTCACAGTGACCAACCAAATGCCTATGGGAAGCCTGCAAGCTGGACCTGAGTGCAACACACTCTCACCTTGTGTGGTTTCTAGAGTCACTGCCTCTAACGGTGAAAGTCCCCCTGCTGTCCTATGAATGGTCTTGGGCTGACTTCTCCAAGCTGGTGCCCCCTTCCCTTGCCAATGTTTTGAACAACAACTACCACCATGGGCTGGCTGGGGCTGATGGGAGTTGTAGTGCAAAATACCTGGAGGGCAGCAGGTTAGCAAAGGCTGCTCTGGAGGTAAGAGCCTCTGGTAGGCCTGATCCACACAATACATTGAAGCCCTGATTGCCTCTGCTTTCAAGGCCACACCGCTTAGGAACAGAAATCCTCAAAGGTCAGATTTGTTTGTGTGCCCTCTCTCCATGGACATTTAATGAGGAAATCACATAACAGTTATACCTTGGAAGTCAAACAGAATCCGTTCCGGAAGTCCGTTCAACTTCCAAAATGTTTGAAAACCAAACTGCGGCTTCTCATTGGCTGCAGCCAATCAAAAGTCGCAGAAGCCCCCTCGGACATTCGGGTTCTAAAAGAACGTTTGCAAACCAGAACAATCACTTCCGGGTTTGTGGCGTTCGGGAGCCAAAACGTCCGAGTTCCAGGGCATTCAGGATCTAAGGTATGACTGTATTGCTCCATCAACTGGGAATAGGGAGTGTTCATAGAGTTGAAGAGTTGGAAGGGACCACAAGGATCATCTAGGCCAACCCTCTGCAATGCAGAAATATTTTTTTTTGCCCAACGTGGAGCTCAATCCTACAACCTTGAGATCAAGAGTCTCATGCTCTACTGATTGAGCTATCCCACAGGCTTATAGCATTTGTATATTGTTGACTAGACTATTTGGTGCAATGGTGGGAGTTCACCATACAACCAGTTTGCAATTCACCCCATAGTTACAGCATGCCTGTGTGCTGTGTTGCTCTCTTCAACAAATCTCTGTTCTTATGGCGTGGTGATTGCGCTCTGGCCCAACCATTAGAAGCACATGTGCAACAACATAAGATTAAAGGTACTTAGAAAGCCTAGTCTAAACTATTGCTACTAAAAAGGGAGAGAATAAAAACCTGAATGTGTACAACTATTCCCCTTTGCCTCTTTTTTTTTTTTAAAAAAAACAACAACTTCTGGATTTTTATTATAGTGCAAAATACAATTACAGAGGCAGAGTTGTAAGTAAAAGAAAATTGTCAGTTCTTACAATAGCATGAATCATATGAATCATATAAATTTTAAATTTCTAATAATATACTTTTTTAGTCTGTAAGAAAGGATTAATATTATTCAAAATGTATACTTATTCCCTAGCTTTTAAGCAGTGCATAAATCACAGCAAGCTTTCCCTATCTTTAATTTCCGCCTTTCCTTGATTTGTAGGATTAAATTAGGGAAAAGCAGTATTTAAAACTTCGATAGATAGCCTTACGTCAACAACAAGCAATAAAGTTCATCCAGATTCCTCTAAATTTCCATCCCCTTCACTTCCCTTCTTCCCTTCTAAGGCATGGTGTTAATTTTGTTCTACATGTGTTTTTCCACCATTTGTCAGTGTTGCACCAATAGCATTGTTTGCAACCTGCAGTTCTTCCCCTTTGAACTCTTCCAGAGGTAGATAAGTTTTATTTCAGGTGCAGCAGAGGAAACTGCTCCTACTTCTGTTGCCTTCCTGCACTAGAGCAATTTTATTTGTTACTGACTAAGGCCTTACAGTGGCGTAGCAATGTCAGGTGGTACCTGGTGCAAAAAATTTCTCGTCACCCCCCCATTGAAATTATTAAAAGAAGGAAAAATAAGATACAGTTGCAAATGTTATTTTCTGGTTTATTTACTTAACATTGTGAGCATAAGCACTTAAAACCATTTTTCCACGATGGGAATTTCTTATTTTAAAAACACATATTTTTGCCATTTTGTCACCCCCCTCAGTGATGACACCCAGGGCAGCCCGCACCCACTGCACCCCCTTCCTACGCCACTGAGGCCTTATACTGACCAAAATAAATGCTGTCCTGAGCCAGCTGCTCAGATCTTATCCAATTACCTTTTCCCCAGGTAATCTCTCTCCACCTTCTCCTCATCATAGATAGATGATTGACAGTGCAGTCTAGAGGCCATAGACAGTATGAAACACTTCAGCTGTACAGATGATGAACCCCTAAGTCTACAAAATAGGCATGAGCTCACAAGGGTGAGCTGGGTGTTGAAACACAGGAAGGAATCTTTATGTTCAGAGTCCCTTTTAAATTCGGGAGCATCTGGACAGCCTGATAACAGCTGTGTATAAAAGAATCAAACGCCTCTAAGAAATTCCACACGCAGGAAATTTCAGATGTATTCCTGAGCAGGAAGCCTGCTAGCATCATATCAACAGGCTCAACCCAAGGATTTCTTAGCCAAAGGTGCTGGATTAGCTTTTGATAATCATCTGACCTTTCTGGAGTTTATCTGAACCGAACACCCAAGCCACGCTGAGAATCACTAGAAGCTCATTTGAATGCATCGTTCTTCTGCCAAGTTGTAAGCAACCAAAAGCAGAGGTGGAAGTGTGCACGAAGACACTGTAGCTAGGCAAACAATTCTTTTTTGCTTTTGTGCTGCTATGCAAAGCTATCTCCTTTATAAAATACTGAAGGGCAGCAGGCAGAGGAATCAATCAAGCCTCTTGGGTGCCACCATTACTATATCTACTAAGAACTATTGATGATCTTTGGCATGATGGCAATGCATGACTGTCACAAATGCCAGGTCCCTTCAAATGTTCTCTTCTTGATCTATAGGGGTCCACATGACAAGGATTGGTAACATAGGCAGCTGTCCTGTACCAAGTCAGACCACTGATGCATATACTCCAATAATGTCTACACCAACCTTTCTCAACCTTGGGTTCTTAGATGTTGTTTGACTACAACGCCCATTATTCTAGCCAGCATGGACTGTGGTCAGGGATTATGGTACCTCAAGACGGACTGGGGACCCAAGGTTGAGAAAGACTGGTCTACACCGACTGGCAGTGGTTCATCATTTCAAACAGTGGTCTCTCCCAGCCCTATAGGAGATGCTGGAAAATCAACCAGGGGTCTTCTGCATGTGATGTAGGCACCCCACCACTATACTAGAGATTTAAGCAAACCTGGAGGCAATGGTGATGGTACAGGCATCGCACCACACAATGTGGGGTTTTTGTTTTGTTTCTTACTTTGCTACAGCACACCCCATTTCTTCCCCTCTCTAGAGGTTTGAAAGAGGAGGGTGGGGATGAGAAGTTCTGTACGCACAATGCTTGTCTACAATTTTACCTAATGTGCCCTGTTTTTGCGAAGCAATTTGCACAGTATTGCATTTTATGTTATTTTCATTAATATATGTTATTACCCTAGAATATGCATTTTTACATACATTACTTGACTGGAGAATGACATTGTAAAATGTGAAAATGATGGGTTCATTTCATTTTGAAAACCGTGGATGAAGTAGGCTTGCCTTTAAATGCTATCACCTCACCACACAGCTTGGATTTGCCTTGCCTTCTCCCTGGCTCTCGTCATGACTGCCTTGACAGTAGCCAGGTTTTAGAGCCAGCCAGATCAATTCAGTGGCATCCACCCCCTCTCTTCCTGTATTTTCACTTCCTCTCAAACAGCATCCAGCTTACTGCAGATTAGTGAAGGCATTTTCATCATAATGAAATCTTAAACCAAGATCTTCCTGAATTCCAAGAGAAGCAGCATAACCCCAGTGTGCAAAAACCCAAGCCCAGAGTCTTCACAGAATAGGGTTGTGCTGCTTCTCATAGAATTTAGGGAGATCTTACTTAAAGATTGCAGGTTGCTTTCGACAGCCAGGCTACCCATTGCTGCATTCTGCTTCCCCAGGGTCCCTGAAGCCTGCTCACCCACTTGTCTCCCCTCTGGCGGCGTGGAACCTACATTTCACAGAACCAGATTTCTTGCATTCATTTAGAAGCAGCATTTATAAGCAGCAGAAATTCCCCCTAAGCAGAGTGAGAGAGCTGGTTTTATGCTGACACCAGATTAATTGGAAATGAACCGCTGAGAACAGGACGGCAGAGGATCAAGCTCTTATTTCTGCAGTCTTAGATTAGGCCTGGCGTGATAGCCCAGGTCAGGGGCCTGGAGTGGGCCACACAACAGATGTGCCTGAAGGTCCAGTGTGACTTGGAAATGGACATAACCTCTACCTCAAGTAAAATGTGATGGAACCGTCTCAGAGTTTCTGCACATGCTGCAAAACTCCTGTGTAGGCTGTAGAGTAGACTGCTTATCTCTAATAAATTTGCACAAGATGCTGTGCTTTGGGAAGCTTTCCAAAACTCAGGTGTTAATATAGCGGTTCACCTTTTGGTTCACGGTGTACCAGCCAAATGTTAAAACACAATGGGGAGAAGCCACAGATGATTAGGCATGCCTGCGTTCCATTGAACAAGAAAAGCAACTGCATGATTAAGGACATGGGAAGCTGCCTTATAGTGAGTGAGATTATTGATCCATCAAGCTTTATAATGCCTAAACTAACTGGCAGAAATTCTCCAGGGTTTCAGACCAGGCGTCTGTCCCAGCCCTAGCTGGAGATGCCAGGGATTGAACTTTGGAACCACTTAGCCAGGTTTTTTACATGCTCCATCAGCACGATACATTTAAAGCAGTATCATACCACTTTAAACAGTCATGACTCCCCATAAAGAATCCCACGCATTGCAATTTATTAAGAGTTATGAGAGACCTTCACAGAGCTACAATTCCTGAACAGTCAATCTTTCTTTCTAGGGAACTCTGGGAATTGTAGCTTTGCAAGAAGAATAAGGGTCTCTTAAAAACCCCTCTTAAAAATGAATTACAGGATTCTTTGGGGGAAGCCATTATTATTTAAATTGGTATGATGCTTCTTTAAATGTATACTGCAGATGGGGCCCAAACTTGCTAAATTTAATAGGGCTTAAACCTCCCTGTATTTAGAATCAGCGAGATCTTGGAGGTCCTTTAGTGCAACCTCAATGCAGGATCTTTCTACTAACAGTAACTTCTGTTTACAGAGTCTCCAATCCAAGAGTATTATTCACAGAGTACAACACTGACTATGTGAATCATGAGTAGGAAAAAATCCCCATAATTTTGGATCATTATGTGACTGGAAAGAGGCACTCTTCTCCCCTGTCTTTCATCTTCTCTCCTCCCTCCCTCCTGCTGTGAGCAGAAACAAACCAGTCTGTTAAATAATATAGTGTTGGAACAACTAGACGATATTTGGGTATGAAGAGGCCCTCAAGATAAAATGGAGACAATGGCAGAAGTGCATTAGGAATGAAGATGCAACCCTTTCCATTTTTTACTATGATAGCAATCTGGAGATGATAGCTTGATTCACTCAGTGCATATGGAAACTTTGCCTCTCCATGGCATTCCAGTTATCTCATAAATATAATTTCAGGGCTGCAGCTGCAAAGCGATGTTTCGTGTTTACTTTCCGCTTTGATTGGTTTTAAATGTATGATTTTCTCCTTCCACCACACCTCTCACCAATTTGCTTTTAGAGCCATAGAAATGCAAAAAGAAATATAAAGCAGCACTTGCGTTCATGTGGGTGGGGATGGGGGTGGGGTTTTGCTTTCCTGGAGAGTGCTTCAGAGAAGAGGCTAGTTTGATGGTGACACTGGGCCAAGGACTCTCTCTCTCAGGGCTGCAACAGACTGGTGTCTTTTTAAAAAATTGATGCTCACCTGGTGGAAACTCTAGCTCACATGGCCCTTAAATGTAAAATGTATGATGATCTCTGCCAACAATTTTTAGGCCATCTATGTATTCCAACATGGAAACCAGAGACAGTGGTTATACGCTTATTACAGAAGAGAGACCAGGAGCTCACCAAGACAGTAGCTAAGTTCCTCTATTTGATTTTTTTTGTCACCAAAGTACGCTACAGGATAGTGCCCTTGCTGGAGACCCACAGAGATGAAATAGATTGCTCGCCTCTTCTTCCCTTTGGCAAATGATTGTAATGTTGAAATGGCGACGAGATCACACTGGCCTATTTATTCTGAATGTTTGTAAATGATGCCAATAAAGGTTTGATGATGATGATGATTCCCTTTTCTGAGTTGTTCTGTGAAGTTTTCCAAATGTTGCTGCATGATAATTGCCTAGAGGGGCACTCTTGCACTACAGTCCAACAAAACTTTTATAAGTTTATAAAATTATGTGTAGCGTGGAGAAAGTAGATAAAGAAAAGCTTTTCTTCCTCTCTTATAATCCTGGAGTTTGTGGATATTCGGTAAAGCTGAACATTGGAAGGTTCAGGATAGATATGAGAAAATATATCTTCATGCAGGGCTTAGTTAAACCATGGAATTTGTTCCCGTAGAAAACAGTGATCACCACCAACTTTTATGACTTTAGAAGAGGATTAAACATATACATGAAGGATAAGGCTGTTGGCTGTGTTCTACCTCCACTGTCTGAAGCAGTAGGCCTCTGCAGACCAGTTTCTGGAAACCAAAGGTGGGCAGAGTGCTCTTGAACTCAGGTCCTGTTTGTAGGCTTCCCACAGGCTTTCTCCATGCCACACATAATTTTATAAACTTTAAAGTTTTGTTGGACTATAGTGCAAGAGTAGCCCTCTAGGCAATTATCATTTGGGAAACTTCACAGAACAACACACAAAGGGGAACCATGGGTTGAAAGCCCAGTGAAAACCAACAACCAAATCACAACTCATGTTCTTATGTTCTTAAAAGTGGGACAAACAACAACCCCGGAACACTTGCAGTATGAAAAGTTACAGGATTCATTCCCATGTTCCCACTGGAAATAAAGTTGTACGTTTGTCCCCAAACCTTTCTATACTGATATAATATTAAGAGTGGGAATAGTTCTGAGTATTTTCCCCCTCCTCCCTCTAAAAAATGCAAACTAGTGTGGAAATGTGGAATACTGAAGTTAGGTTTGGAAAAATGCAATACTGAAATTAACTGAAATTGACAGATTTGTCATCTCTATGACTAGTATTATTACAGCCAAACACACACACACACAATCCCATGAGAGGTCATGACTGGCCCCAAAGCACCTGGTGATTGCACAAAGGTTCTATACTTACTCCAGTTCAATATGTTACCAAAGCAAGCACCAGAAGAGAGAGAATTTTGTGTACAAGCCGCAAATAGCAAAACCTTTCTTCCTCTTGTATGCATGTAACAAAGCCCATTTCTTCTGGGACAAGACCTTTCTGCATTAGCTTTGAGGCCTGGAGCACGCCCCTCCCCCCCGGACTGTGTGTATTGTGGTTTTACTTGGACCGATCAGTTCCAGTACGTCAGCAAGAAACCAGACCTTTGGGTTCATGTTTGCTTCAGCATCTGAATTTCCCCTCAAAGCGTCTCTAGGAAAAGCTTAGAAACAGCCTGGAGCATTTTAATTATTTCACTGACACTACATGGGAAAAGGAAAGCTGGATGTGATATTAGAGGCGAAAGAGCAAAAGAATGTTTTATTTTATTTTACTTTATTTTACTTTGGGGTTTCAGGCAATCTCATTGCATTACTTTTCATTCCATATTAGAAATATTTATGGGCGCTGGTCTCCATAGAAGATAATGGCCCCGAGGGAGTGGATTAGAAAGTGTTTGGAGTTTTAATCAGGAGTATTCTCGGATAAGAAGGTCACTATTGCTCCATGGAAAGTCCTTGCAGTAATTTCTATGGAAGAAAGGTTTGTGTTTTCTCTGTTTAGGCCCATGCCGACACAAACCGTTACTTCATTTTAATAAGCAGGAACATAGAAAGCTGCCTTATACCAAGAGCAAATCCACACTATACATTTAAAGCAGTATCACATCAGTTTAAACAGTCAGGACTTCCTCCAAGGAATCATGGGAACGCTAGTTTTTTAAGCTGGTTAGGAGACTCATATTCTCATCAGTTCCTAGACTTCCCCGGGAAGAGGAATTGGTTGTTAAACCACTCTGGGAATAGCATGGGGAATTTGGACAGTTCTTCAAACGTTGAACCTCTTCAAATATTTTCGCTTTGGCAATGTGAGCAAAGGAAAGCCACGTTCTGTGCTGGAAATGCAGTGGAGCCCATTCTGAAAATGAGAAAGTTGTGGAAGTGGGAAGTGTCTCAATAGGAGTTGTTGATGAAGGCTGATGAGTTGAGATTGGTGTGCCCATTGACAGCACATTAGTGGTGCTCTTGATAACTACTATTAACTGCGCAAGTAAGAAATGTTCTTGCAATTTTAAACCAACTAATTTTTCAGCAGGAGCCTACGCATAGCCAAGGCTCTTTTGTGATATGATTATAGACACATGGTGCAGAGAGACTAGCATTCATGGGTGCAAAAGGAGGATTTAGATAGTATAAGGCTTCATCCTTTCCCAGTCAGGTTTGATGATGGATGAACAAGGACTTGGGCCAGCCAAAACTGCATTATTTTTAAAAGGGGCAGTAGCTCAATGGTGTACTCATACTTTGCAATGCAATTTTCATCTGAGATCCTTCTTTCTGTGCCCCCTCCATGAGAGGTCCAGGGGGTGGCAACATGAAAATTGTTGTTGTTGTTGTTTTTAATGTGGCGGCTTCCTGTTTGTTGAATGCTGTCCCCAGGGAGGCTTGCCTGGTGCTTTCATTACATATATTCAGGTGCCAGGCAAAAATGTTTCACTTTAACCATTCTATGTCCTTTTAAATATGTTTGTGGAAGCGGGGCTAATAATAGCACAACAACCCCTTGCAGACTGGATTACTGCAATGCACTCTCTGCGGGACTGCCCTTGAAGATGACTCAGAAACATCAAAAGTTCTAAAATGAGGAACAAAACAATATAAAAGAAATGATAAAAATTCAGTTAAAACGTAAATAATAAAACAATAGTAAGCAATAAAATAAATATGACCTCCAAAGCAAGAGAATATAGGTAGGCTTTCATCATGCAGCAAAATCCCATTGAGATTGGAGCCATGCATTCTTCTAAGCCAAGGGAGTTCCAGAACCTGGGTGCCACAACAGAGAAAGACCTGCTTTGGTTCCACAGACCATGAACTTCATGCCCCCTTCTTTTTCTACACATCTACAGCAAACCTAAATAAATCTTAAAAAGATCACTTATCATACAGATTGTAGTGGCACCTGGTATGCATATTGATCTCTTTTCTTGTTAAATATAACTCAGTCCTGTATAGAAGTCAGTGGATTCTCATATTGTCACCAACAGTTAATAACCACTTAAGTCTACAACGCGAGATTTGGGTGTTGTATTGGTCTTTTATGACCTTTTCCAAATGCCAGGGTTAAATTTTATGATTCATAGATTGTTCATTTTCTAATCCTGCTCCAATAAAAATAAAAAGAGCACTAGGCTATATTTAATCATTCCTAATCTTGTTAGCACACAATGTTATTGTGTAGTGCAGTGTACACTGCCATTGCTTAATATAAGAATGCTAGCAGTGAAACAGTGTCTTTCTAACATGGGTCGTTGGTTTAGTTATAATGTTTCTTAATTTTAACACAAATTCTGACACAGTGTAACTGCAATCAATGACATCCTGAATAAAAGAAAATAGGGTGTTCTTCTTAGTGGTCACTTCTGAGACTATGGGATAGATACCATATTTTTCGCTCTATAACACGCACCCGACCATAACACGCACGTAGATTTTAGAGGAGGAAAATCCGTAGGCATGCCACCCGTAGGCATTCCCTCCATAACACGCACAGACATTTCCCCTTACTTTCTAGGAGGAAAAAAGTGAGTGTTATGGTGCAAAAAATACGGTATATAAGAATGAATTGAGACCAGAACCTTCACTGTACAATGCATTTTATGTGCTATTATAAGCCTCATTAATAAGGAAAGGGAGATAATTAAATTTAGCAAAATTGAAGGGATGAATAGAAATAATGCAGTAATACAATATGATGTGATTGAAAAGAGGACTTGTAATAGAAGGCTGAGATATCAGTATAATGCATTGGGGGCATAGCAGATGGAGAGGAAATAAGTTGCATAACAAAACAAGGTTAGGCATTAATAAATGAGCAGAATAAAGGAAAAGTTATAACTTTATGTTAGATGTTGTTGGAAGTGACCAGTAAGCAATGAGATGATTATTGTAACAAATGGAACATAGATTTGAATAAGGTTATAAATGTGGAAGTGTGGAAATATTATTGTAATATCAGATAGAGATTGCCCCCTCTGTACAAAAAATCATTTCAAATATCAATGTGGTATTTGACAGCTTAGTGATTGGGCAGGGGGATCTGTCATCTTGCTGAAAATCTGGATGTGAGAATCTAGATAGGATGCATTTGTCGTGGAAGCACCCAGAAATCCAAAAGTTTTGGAAGGAAGTGGTGAAAAGGAATTTGAGAAAGATGCAAATTACATATGAACCTTTGGTACTGCTACCTTGTTTCTTTCAAAAGTGTTTCCTTACATTACGGCTTTTGCTCTAAAAGTCAACCTCAATTTGCATCCAAGCATATAAACTGGCATGTGGAAATTTATGGTTTTGGGATCAGCTAATCCCCCCCCCCAATCTTTTAAGAAACCAGCAGTACCCATTCATGGAGGAGGCAGCCATCAGTGGCTACTATGTTCTGCCACCACCGTTGGAGACAGCAATGCTTCTGAAAACCAGTTGCTGGAAACCACAGGAGGAGTTAGCTCTCTTGTGCTTGGATCCTGCTTGAGGAGTTTCCCACAAGCATCCAGTTGGCTACTATGAGAACAGGATGCTGGAACAGATGGGCCATTGACCTGACCCAGAGGGCTATTCTTATACAGGGCTTTATTTTTCCAGCCTGAGCTCATCGGAACTCAGTTCCAGCACCTCTCAGGTGGGTGCCATTGCCATTATAAGAGAACATGGGAGGTGTTCATGGTGAGTTCTGGCATCGCTTTTTCTGGAAAAATAGAACTGCTTATGTCACATACCCATCCTTATGTGTGTACACACTCACACTGTTTTCTTCTCTACCTACATATATTGAGTTCATGAAGTGGGGGAAAGGATGGCTTGTCTACATCTCACAGAATAGACATGTTCAACCAGTCGGCCACAATTGACAGGTAGATTCCTGGGGTGTTCCTGGTCGATCACAGGATTAAATGAAGTGGGCAAGGAATGTTTTCGCCACCCTCTGCCCAAAAAGCTCAACAACTCTGGGCAACCCAATCCACGCAAGCTCCTCCTCCCTCCAATGACAATGGCTAGATCACTTCCAGTTTTTTTATACTGGGAGTAGATCGCAGTCTCTTGGGAGTTGGACGTGCATGTCATACAAGATTACTTTTTTTCTTTTCCTGAATATAAGGTTCCTGAATGTTGATTATGCAGATGCACAGCTATTATTCCCTCCAGTCAGCTCACCATGGTACACCACCTCAATCTACCTGCCCCATTTTCTTTTTTCTTTCTTTTTTTCTTTTTGGCATTGTTTGCTTTTAAATACAAACCAGGGTTTTTTGGGCCGTTTGTTCTTTAGCGGATCAAAAAACAATAACACACGGCGATGGAAACTGTTTGATTTATTTCTTCTCAAGTTCTCTAAATTCCCTGGACACTTACTTTTATGGATTTATTATTAACCTTTCCTGGGTACAATCGCAGAGCAAATAAGGCAAAATCCTTGGCTGCTTATTTCCAGCTACAGTTAAAAATAACCTTGACCTACCATGCGCTGCTGTGCAGCCAGCGCACTTTAAAGTACCCTTTTAGAAAGCACTTTCTCTTGATACATAAAAGCGAGGGAGTTGTTGCTTTCTTGTCCCATCATTGCAGTGATGAAGGGGTGGCGTGAGGGTGGTGGTTGGGGGTGATTCTTTCACAATTCTTCCTCCTCCTGCAGGTTCAAAGACTGGTGACATGTATTTAGGTGGCCATTTGTCACTGTCACCCAGATCAGCTATATTTAGGGCTGGGATATGGGTATGAATATGAGGAAGCAATTTTTATTTTTGTGTGTGTGTGAGGGGGAATCTCAGTATAATGACATTTGCGTCCCAGCATGCATTGCAAATGCTAAGCTCCAGCATGAGCCAAGCACTTCCCCACTCCCTCTTGGCAAGGTGTCAGAGCTGCCTCTGGCTCCTTTGATCCCCCGTTGAGAGCAAATGAAAACAGACAGCCCTTATTATCCGCCGACGATGTGGCACGGAGCGGCGAAAGCCCAGTAAGGCGAGGGTGATACAGCTGCTCCCTTTGAAAAATAAAGCCGTACCATTCAGAGGGTTATCAAGACCACAGGAAAGAAGGCAACTTTTTATCTCCCTCTCCCATTCTGCAGGCATATTAATGTGCACATATTATTACTGCGGTTTTCTTGAGGCTGGATTGAGTGAATGTGGGAGGCAGAGAGAGGTAGGGCTGGAACTGTTTGAACAAGCTGGGCTGGATTGGGGGTGTGCAGGGGAAAGCCTTGCCTGACAACACAGTTCTTTGCACACCTTTACTCAAAAGTCTTGCCAGTTTCCACAAAGAACAACACTCTCTGAGATTTGAGGAAGAGGCCATAGATCAGTGACCAAGCACGTGCAACAAGGCCAGTATCTCTAGTTAAAAGATGTTCAGGTAGGACAGTGTCCACTGATCTCTACCTGACACCCTTAAAAGTCTCCACAGCTTTTGCCCTGCACCAGCCTTTCTCAACTTGGGGCTGAAAGGAGTTGTATGTAGTCCAGAATATCTGGAGAGGACATGACTGTGGAGAAAGCTAGGCAAGGCCAAAGAATGGTCTGTTTCTGCTTAATAATGAAGCTTTATAGATTAATATCTCTTCACATGCAATGGCAACCTCCTCATACATGACATCTGCAACAGTTACATTAACAAAATGTAATGTACTACGACTACGGCAGACCAACACGGCTACCTACCTGTAACTAGTTACATTAACACCTGACATCTTTTTAAAATGCAAAAAAAGTGATTTTGAAATTTATCACTGGATCCTGAAATCCCTACCGTGTTTGACCTTCTAACTTGTTTGACTTGAATTCCACCTCTCCTACATGCATAAAGAGGAAAGAACCAAGGGATATACAGTGGTGCCTCGCAAGACGAAATTAATCCGTTCCGCGAGTCTCTTCGTCTTGCGGTTTTTTCGTCTTGCGAAGCACGGCTATTAGCGGCTTAGCGGCTTAGTGGCTATTAGCGGCTTAGCGGCTATTAACGGCTTAGAGGCTATTAACAGCTTAGCGGCTTAGCGGCTTTAAGAAAAAGGAAACAAACTCGCAAGAACTCGCAAGACGTTTCGTCTTGCGAAGCAAGCCCATAGGGAAATTCATCTTGCGGAACGACTCAAAAATCGCTAAACCCTTTCGTCTAGCGAGTTTTTTGTCTTGCGAGGCATTTGTCTTGCGGGGCACCACTGTACTGTGGGATAAATCAGCCTTATAACCAACATGCTTAAGTCTCATTAGTGCATGAATGGGATAAGATAATAGAGAAAGCTGAAAGGTTTACCAAATTCTCTGTTCTCTTACTTCTACCATGTGAGCCCTACTAGTAAGGAGGTCTGAGGTGGATGCTCCAAATTTAGACCACCTTTGTGTTTCTATACAAATAATTTAGAAACATTTACCATTTTGGAACTTAAGTTATACTGCCTGTTGTTTCTTGCTGCTGTATGGAAAACCAGATGAACCTGGTTTTTGAAGTTTGTAAGTAAACTTATAAGGGGATATTTTAGTGTCTAACAGTCTATATTTCCACAGTTTACTTTGCTGCATGTTTTGTAATTTTTAATCTCTGCTGGGACTCTCTCATCAAAGAGTACTTGCCCCCCAACCTGGATCTAGGCATCCAGGGAATTCTCATTTTTATTTTTCCATATCTATTTTTTCTTTTACCAAAATACAAAAATCAATATATACAGTCTAGTGCTTGATCCTATTCAGAAATCTGTTCCAAATGCTTCATATAGCTATTCAGATTCACAGTAGATTTCAATCTTTGTTATGTTGCTGTTTGTAAATTCTTTTTTTTTTAAATGATATTTATTAAAGATACATGAAAGTACAGAATAAAGAAAAAGTATAAAGTTTTAAGATATAACAAAAATTCTGATTAGTTTGCTGGCAGAGCTACTCAAGTTCTAAGCAATCCAGCAGTCCAGGATTTGCAAAGGGTATCTTAATGGACTTAGAGCTGAGATCTTGCAAGGGGCTTTTCTTTGGTACCTGGATATCAGTCAGCCAGTCTACTCTAGGCCTATGTGAACACAGGCATATATAAAGGCATGTATAGGCAGAATGTCTTCACTTCAGGATGACCAGATCCACACCTCCCGGAATAATGTGCAGAGCAAAACATACTTCCTCTTTGAATGTTGCACACTTCTGAAAATTGTGCTACACTTTCCTTGTTACAGAAATGTAGCAAAATGTGTTACAAAACAGATATTTTAGGACAAATATATTTCTAAATGGGAGCATGGAGAAATGCAATATATATTTATATACCATATAAAATGGTATATAAAATATGTATTTAAATATGTGTGTTTTTTGGTCCAGCTTAAAAGAAAAATGACAGATTAATACAGAAACAGCATGCAGTGTATTGGAGTCAGAGAAGAGTGAATCTGTCAATTTCAGTTTTCCTCAATTTCATTTTTTTTCAGCTCTCCAAATTTCCACATCAGTTTGTGAAACCTCTCATGAAAATCCACCAGCATTTTTTGTGAATTTCTCCTACTATACATATTTTTAATGGGGGGAATTTCCCTAATATGCATATTTTTTGAAGCAATTCTCCTAGTATAATTCACTTTTGTATGCAATTTTCATGAATGCATGGATTTATATGCACACTTTACTCTAGCACGTGCATATTTGAATGCATCATTTGGCTGAATTTGAAAAATTCAGACCATCGCGGCAAATTACCAAAAAGCAGTGTGTCCTAACAACATTTTAGCCTTTACTGCTTTCTGTACTAAATATAGTAAATCAGTGCACAGTAATAATAGCAATGTTATAAATGCAGGTCAAGCCATGCAACACTCTTTAAAAAGGAGGGAGGGAGCAGAATCTCTAGACAATTGTGCTTTTACTATGAAGATCTAGTTCATACTTTGAAGTCACTCAGGGTGTAGTGAATTGGCAAACCAATAAAGAGGGTTGGGTCTGACAGCACTGCTCTTTGCCCTTTGATTCAGTGACAGCTTCTGCTAATGGAAGGAGAGAGGGTTGTTGTTGTTGTTACTTCCCCCTTTTCATCATCCTGCAGCTCTGAGATCGCTGGTGCTTCACACATGCCTTGTACAAACCAGGACACAGAATCCAGGAGGGGATTCAGCACCATGAAAAGTCGCATCCCCTTCCTTTCACGTTAAAACATCCATGGCTACGAGTATGTCAAAAACAATGTTGCATTTTGTTATATTTTATTTTTGTTTTATAATTTGAGTAGAATGACATCTCTGGCAGATGATACATTTTTTTAAAGAAAAACAACTAGTAAACACAATTCAGGTTCATTTCCCCATCCCTGGGGTTTACCTGGCCTGATCCGATTGAACGAGTCAATTTTAATGTCCTGTTATAGAGAAGGATTGAAAACGAATGTGGCTGAGTTCTCCTGTGTGCCAGGATGCAGAGGCTCAGCAGAGATAAGATAACCTTGCAAATAAACAACAGATGGCCAGTGGCCTAATGCTATGCTGTCGATGAGCATGACAGGGATTTATTCTTTCAACCTGCAGAAGGAACCTTGAAGAGGCTGAAGCTGCGGGAATGGATGGGCCCACCAGCAGCCAGGCTTTTGCTACAGGAATTCAGTCAAAGCAGATACAGGGATTCTGTCAAAGCAGATGGCATTAAAATGCTGCAATAGTATTATGCAGCTGTTTCCTTTCTTTCTTGGATAATGCGTGCGATTCAGAATAAATTCCCCCGAGGGATTCTTAGATCAACCATCGGTCTCAAATATGCTTCTCTCCAGAGGTTCTTTCTTTCTTTCTTTCTTTCTTTCTTTCTTTCTTTCTTTCTTTCTTTCTTTTGGCACACACAAACACATACACACCAGTCTGTCTTGTTGATAAATGAGGGTGTAAAGGCCATTGACTTTAACAGAGCTACTTTGGTGTAACGAGATTGGTGGACAGGATCTGTTCTTTGCAAAGAGTTTTAGCTGCAGAGACCAGACTGTGTGTTATCCATCATGCCCAATTTGAAAGCAGTAAAGTAAAATAAAAATGCTGGGTAGATATCTAAAAACAGAAGGATAAAAATGCTATCACAGGAAACAATGTCTTATTCTGAATCAGAACATTGATCCATCTATTGTTTGGGCCCTTACTGAACTCTAACATATGTGGAACAGTTGTAGGAGTTGGGTGTGTTTAGCCTAGAGAAGAGGAAACCGAGAGGTGATATGATCGCCATCTTCAAATATCTAAAAAGCTGTCAACATGGAAGATGGAGCAAGCTAGTTTTCACCTGCTCTGGAGGCTAGAACCCGAGCCAATGGATTCAAGTTACAAGAAAAGTGATTCTGACTAAATATAAGGGGGAACATTATGAAAGTAAGAGCTGTTCAACAGTGGGATGGACTCCCTCAGAAGGTGGTGACTCCTTCTTCGAAGGTTTTGAAGCAGAGGTTGGGTGTTCATGAATGCTTTAGTTGATATTCCTACTTTTTAGGGGGTTGGAAGTGGCAGGAATATTTTGGGCATCACATGGCAGGACAGAGTCTCAAACAAAGATGTGCTCTCCCATGCCCACATTCCCAGCTTGTTCACACTCCTGTCTCAGCAATGTCTGTGCTAGCTTAGTCATGTCCACAGAATGGAAGATGGCAGGATCCCCAAGGATGTGTTCTATAGGGAGCTGGCTTCAGGCACTAGGCCCATTGGCAGCCAAATTCTGTGTTTAAAAGATGTCTGCAAACGAGACATGAAGGCTGGCAACATCAACCCCATTGTGTGGGAATCCCTTGCAGACAGGGGTGCTTGAATATAATATGGGGGGCAGATAAGCCCTGCCCCACATTATTGATCAAATAATGTGGAGCACACACACCATCTGAATGGCAATGCCCATCAACTTGGGGGGGGGGCAGTCTCCTCAAATATTTTATGGGGGAGCAAAGGCCTCCTAGGGGTCAGCTCCTATTATTGCAGACAACCACAGTGCCTGGAAACAAACAAGCAGTGTATCCACAGCAGTGACCAGAGGAGGAATGACTGCTGGGAGGAACATAGAAAGAAGAAACTCCATGGTGCATATGCAGCAGCATATACAGATGATTTAATCTGCCTCAGCTGCAACAAAACATGTCTCTCCTGTATCAGTCTCTGCTTCAACAGGAGGCAATGTAACTCTCCAATGGTTTTACTTCACCCCTGAAGGTGTAACTCCTGTACTGTCTCCCGAAACAGAAAGATGCCAACAACAACAAAAGGAGGACTAGATGTTGCTTTGGGTCCCTTCCAACTCTACAGTTCTATGATTCTATAACCTGTGTTATACCTTTTGTCTCCCCCAAACTTCCAGATATTATGCTGTCTGAGACTTGTGGAAGTTGTTATAGACTGATTGGCCTAGAGATTAACTCCTTGTTGTTTTTGTTTAATATTCAGGACGTATTTACAACAGCAAATAGTTGCTGTTGTTTAGTCGTGTCCAACTCTTTGTGACCCCATGGACCAAAGCACGCCAAGCACTCCTGTCTTCCACTGCCTCCCGCAGTTTGGTCAAACTCATGCTCGTAGCTTCGAGAACACTGTCCAACCATCTCGTCCTCTGTTGTCCCCTTCTCCTTGTGCCCTCCATCTATCCCAACATCAGGGTCTTTTCCAGGGAGTCTTCCCTTCTCATGAGGTGGCCAAAGTATTGGAGCCTCAGCTTCACGATCTGTCCTTCCAGTGAGCACTCAGGGCTGATTTCCATAAGAATGGATACATTTGATCTTCTTGCAGTCCATGGGACTCTCAAGAGTCTCCTCCAGCACCATAATCCAAAAGCATCAATTCTTCAGTGATCAGCCTTCTTTATGGTCCAGCTCTCACTTCCATACATCACTACTGGGAAAACCATAGCTTTAACTATACAGACCTTTGTCATCAAGGTGATGTCTCTGCTTTTTAAGATGCTGTCTAGGTTTGTCATTGCTTTTCTCCCTAGAAGCAGATGTCTTTTAATTCCGTGACTACTGTCACCATCTGCAGTGATCATGGAGTCTAAGAAGGTAAAATCTCTCACTGTCTCCATTTCTTCCCCTTCTATTTGCCAGGAGGTGATGGGACCAGTGGCCATGATCTTCGTTTTTTTGATGTTGAGTTTCAGACCATATTTTGCGCTCTCCTCTTTCACCCTCAATAAAAGGTTCTTTAATTCCTCCTCACTTTCTGCCATCAAGGTTGTGTCATCTGCATATCTGAGGTTGTTGATATTTCTTCTGGCGATCTTAATTCCGGCTTGGGATTCATCCAGTCCAGCCTTTCACATGATGAATTCTGCATATAAGTTAAATAAGCAGGGAGACAATATACAGCCTTGTCGTACTCCTTTCCCAATTTTGAACCAATCAGTTGTTCCATATCCAGTTCTAACTGTAGCTTCTTGTCCCACATAGAGATTTCTCAGGAGACAGATGAGGTGATCAGGCACTCCCATTTCTTTAAGAACTTGCCATAGTTTGCTGTGGTCGACACAGTCAAAGGCTTTTGCAAATATAGCAAATATAAGGTTTTCTTATTAGCATGAAAAACATCTTGGCTATTCACGGATGTAGGTAACAGGAGATGCAGCTGGGAGAAAATTGTCTCTCTGCCCTGCTTTCTCTGTTTAGGGAGAGGGTAAGATGAATGGCTGGGTTATGCTATCTTTTCGCCTTTTGTGTATCCAGTCCAAAACCAGTTCAGGCGTGTAAATGTCAAGATGCTAGAGGGCAAAATTATGGTCCATGGAATCACTTGGGAGTCAAGCTTTACCCCATTTTTGGTAAGGGAGTAAAGTGTGTGGAGCAAAGTCATTCAAGAGAAGAAAGAATAGAATTCTCAGCCCAGGAATGAAAAATAAAGCCCCCTTTTCATGAAAAGGATGTAATGAGAAAGAGAAAATTGCTTCTTTTCATTACAGCCTAAAGCTTGACCTCATGCTCTGTCTTACAATCTGCACTTCTCATTATCATCTGAAGCTATGCTTTCTATTCCTCCAGCCTTTTCTTCTCACCAAAGGAAAATAGCAAGTTGATGATGAGGATTCTGCCTTCCTAGAGACCAATCCCTGGGTCGTAGCTATTCATTCACAGTGCAGAATCCTCTAAGAGTTTTCTCCTTCTCAACATTCATGTAGCCTATTAACAGTCTCCTTTCTTGCCATGAGTAGGTGAGATATAAAGCCAGAGAGCATCTATTTCTATTTCTGAAAACATCCTGCCAACTAGACCCATAATAGTTTCAGTAAATTGAAAGAGCAAGCAAAGGGGCAAGATCATTATAGTAACAAATAATTTCCTATTCTATCTATATTTATATCATCTCTATCTATCATCTATCTATCTATCTGTCTATCTATCTATCTATCATCTATCATCTATCTCTATCTATCTATCTATCTATCTATCTATCTATCTATCATCTATCTATATCTATCATCTATCTTATCTATCTATCTATATCATCTATCTCTGTTGTTGTTGTTTAGTCATGTCTGACTCTTCGTGACCCCATGGACCAAAGCACGCCAGGCACTCCTGTCTTCCACTGCCTCCCGTAGTTTGGTCAAACTCATGCTGGTAGCTTCGAGAACACTGTCCAACCATCTTGTCCTCTGTCCTCCCCTTCTCCTTGTGCCATCAATCTTTCCCAACATCAGGGTCTTTTCCAGGGAGTGTTCTCTTCTCATGAGGTGGCCAAAGTATTGGAGCCTCAGCTTCACGATCTGTCCTTCCAGTGAGCACTCAGGGCTGATTTCCATAAGAATGGATACGTTTGAGCTTCATACCATATTTTGTGCTCTCCTCTTTCTAATCTACTTTTCATTTATTTTATTACATTTATACCACACCTTTCCTCCAAGGAGTTCAAGGTGATCTACATGGTTCTCCCTCTACTGATTTTATCCTAAAAGCAACTCTGGTTGGTAGGTTGGGTTGAGAGGCAGTGACAGCTTCGTGGTCACCCACTGAGCTTTGTGGTTGAACCCCACTGTCCCAGATCATAGTCCAGAACTCTAACTACTGCACTACATTGACTCTCATAGTACCCTAGAGGTCCTCAAAGCAGGATCTGCCATCCAAAATGCAACTGTAGCGTCTCTGGCGGCATCCCATCCAATTTCTGCTTCAATGCTTCCAGCCAAGGAAACCCCACCTCTTTGTGGGTTACTCTGCTCCATGGCTGAACAGCTGTTACCATGTTACAACATTCGTCTGGATGCTTCGACAAAAACACCTTCCCTGAAACTTCTTCCCATTGACTTTTGCCATTCGGTTGTGACTTAGAAGTAAGGAGGTACACTTCCTTCTTTGTGCGCAGTGAAAAATAAAAGCTATGCTGATAACAAAGCTTCAGAATGAGAATGCTTCGGAATACCAGTTGCTGGAAACCGCAGAGATGGAGGAGTCCTGTTGTGCTCAGGTCCTGCTTGCAGGCTTCCTATAGGCATCTAGTTGGCCACTGTGAGAACACTGGACTAGATGGGCATGGGCCTGATCCAGCAGGCTCATTTTATGTTCTTATGAAACTGGTATGAGTCTGATTTCAGTATCCTGACTATATAGAGGACATGGACATATTTTTAGGTCAGTCATGTTACATGGTCATATATGATATTTATTACCAATTTCAATAACCACAGTAAGGTGCAAGAAGTTAATTCCGCTGATTCCTCTCCATCGTAGTAGTTTTCTTCACTTTGATTATAGGCGTGTA